TACTGCACAATAATTTAAGTTTTCATAAACTACAGATTATCTAATAAAATTAAAGTAGGTCCCTTTATCAGGTACCACTTTTATTTCCAGCTCTACTGATGTCATTGACATAGAACACTGTTAAGTTTAAAACATACATGTTGGTGTGATACACTTGTATCTTATAAAATGATCACCACCATACTGTGAGCTAACACTTGAATCAAGTCACATAATTACCATTTCTTTTTTGTGGTGAGAACATTTAAGATCTACGCCCTTAACAACTTTCAAGTATATAATACAGCATTATTAATTATAATCACAACGCTGTACATTAGATTCCCCACAACTTACTCATTTTACAGCTGGAAGTTTGTACTCTTTGATCAACATCCCACTTTCCCCAGCCCACCCAGCCCCTGGTAACCACCATTCTAGCCTCTGTTTCAATGATTTTGGCTTTTTTTGATTCCACATATTAAGTGATATCATACAATATTTATCTTTGTCTGACTTACTTCACTTAGCATAATGCCCTCAAGGTCCATCCATGTTGTTGCAAATGGCAATATGTCCTTCTTTCTCATAGCTAAATAATATTCCACTGTATATACATATACATCTTTACCCATTCATCCATTGACAGATACTTAGGTTGTTTTCATATCTTGGCTATTGTGAATAACAAGAACTACTTTTCTAACATAATTTGGACTATATATAAAAAAATGCTATTTAATTCACTTGTATTTATATAACCCTCTTTAAAGAAGTTTTTCTAAATGTAAACTGTAATTTGCCATACCATATTTTTAAAATTACATGTCAACACTTAAAATCTTCCAATTATTAAACCTTAAAAAAATTCTGTGTACATATTAGGACAGATATCATGAATTCATTTATTTATTTAAAAAATACTTATTAAGCATGTTTTGTGCAAGGCATTATAAATAATACAAAATAAGATCATTTCTGCCCTCCAAACAGTTACAATATAGTTGAGAAATAAAACGAACGGAAAACTTACAATACAAACAAGAGTTCATCAAAAAAAAAAAGTATACTTCTGGTTATGGTAAATAAAGAATGACTCATATAGAAAGCAGAATTTCAACAGAAGCTAAGGATGAATAATATTCTGATAGGCAGAGATGGGGCAAGAGAGCACTCCAAGAGGGGAGTGTCTCTGATATCAAACTAAGGAGTTTGAACTTCATTCTTTAACCGAAGCTGAACCCTAACAGACTTCCAAGCAGTGGTTTATAAGGAAGGCTTTCTAAAGGCAGTGAGTAAAAGAATAGATTTGAAAGGGTGAGAAATGGGAGAGTTGGGAAAAGGTAGGTACAAATTAAATGTCCTTCCTGAGTTCACACAGTTAACTAGATACCTGATCCAACAACTCGCTTCTTTGAACACCTATCTCACTGTTTTCTATTATTAGCATACACCAACAAGAACAAGATTCTATTCAAAGACACATAATTTATTTCATAAGCTATTTTTATTAGCAACCTTCACAGTGATAACTCACAAAATTTTCATTTATCATATTAACACACTAATGTCTTTGGATAAAATGTTTTGCTACATAGAGCATATCCCTTTATCCCCTTTACATATGGCCCATCTATGCTTTCTTTCACAGGAAGTGTTCAAAAATCCTGCTGAGGCTAATTTATATATTTGAAATAATGACCATAAAATTGAGATAAGCCTAATTTAGAATTACAGCATTCTAAGGTATCATTTTGTGATTCACATTCACATATGTAGACTTCCACATTAACAGTTAAATAGTATATCATAGGAATAATTCTAGTCTCTCTGGTACAGTGTAAAACAAAATTTATTTCACAGAACAGCCATGTGAATCATAAATCATAATGTGTTTAAAAAACTCATCCTCAAAGCTGAAACTAGTTCTTTTACAATACCCTTTGCAGAAATACATCATCAACTGTCCCATGAATAAAGCAGTCGTACCTCTACCACCCCAATTTAACATACACATATCAAATCTTTTTTGAGGACCCTTTTTTGGGTTCAAAAATATCTAAATGATCTCTGCTGTAAACTCTTGAGTAGTTTTTAGAACTCCTAAGTAGAATCACAAAGTAGAGAAACTAAATTTACATAAAGTTACACTGAAAACAAGTTACACCCTCACACTAAAAATGAAATAACAAAGTATCCACAGAAACTCTTTTGTTCATAAACACATCTAAATAGTATTACACTACATTTCTCAAATTTGGAGTCTGGAAAGAATTTTGAAGAGATATGACTCTATAGCACTGGGTTTCTATTAGGTACTTAGGCTATATAATAGTAGCTATAGGAATATGTAAAAGTTCACTAGAAGACCCATGAAATGTACAGAAGTTATTCTTAGAGATTTCACTTTAATGTTTCCATAGTTCAGTTCTTTGGGGCATTAAAAAAACCAGGTTAGACTAATAAGTGCACATTCCCTCCACAAGGCTAGGTTTCTTTAAAAAAAAAAAAAAATACATCCCTCCTAAGTGAGTTTAACTTACTGAGATCCAAAATTTGAAGTGAGCAAATTGTGTTATATCCTCTCATCTCCTTGATGTCTCTCCCTGTCTCTAAAAGCCCTCAAGTCGCTTTTAAGATCTCAACTACTCCGTAAAACCCTTTAGAGCTTCAAAATTTATTTTATAAAATTACTTGCATATACAACCTCTCCAAAATCAAAACTTTCATGTTCTCATGCAAACACCAATTCACACTAAATTATGTGGGAATAACTGATAGCCCCTCAATTTAGCTAGAGGTGTTTTCATGTTTAAAAGAAGTTTGTTAATTTAACTTTATTTTAACTTCCATAGTTTCAGTAAGTTTAGAAATTTAAAAAATCAAAATAAAAACTTTCAGATTTAGTGTAAAAAAGCACATCCCAGGAAGAGGAGATTAGAAGCTGGAATCTGGCACCTGTTCCCTATTCACCCAGTTACTGTTGTCCGCCATTCGCCCAGTTATATAATCAAAGACCTTGAAATCATCTGGTCCAATACTTCATTTTTAAAGTGGCAAAGCTTACTCCAAAGATCAAGATTAACCACTCATAAACCTATAGTACTTTGCGGCCTCCCCTAAGATAGTCTTGCATTTCATTTTACTCATACTTCTGAACCCATAGCTTCTCTACAACCTAACTTTTTGTACTCTGGACCTTAATGGTAGTGGCCCCAAGCCTTCTGTAGAAAGTAGCTATCCGTGTAGGGTCGGAGTTTGAATGAAAGGAGTATGAGTAGTTTTAAATTCCAGGACTGCCTTAGATTTACAGAGTATATGCATGGTAACTGAAAAAAACAAAAAACAAACGACCAAAAACCAAAAACCAGATAGTCTCAATACTCACAACATTGAGGCATATTTTTGTCTCTTTTACAAAGGATTAAAGTAACCTACAGGCTTCTGGTCTATTCGTCCGTCATATTAAGTTGAGTTCTGCCTAAAAACAAGTTAAGTCTGCCTTTTTGGAGATAAGGAAAGCTAAATTTTAGTCTTTACAATGTGTTACATTAGACTGAAATTACCCACTTAACTCAGAAGACAATTTAAAATTCAAGTTATAATTATTTTTTTCTGCAGGTGCTGTAATATAATAGTTACACACACCCAAACATAAAAAAGTATCAATTAGCGTACACAATGTAAAGGAATTAGTTTCTCACTTAAGAACCAAATGATATGCAAGATATATATTCAAAAATGCAATCAAACACCAGACAGAAGTCACATTGCCAGCTTTATAACAGCCTATTGTGTTTTAATGTATATTTAAAAGTTAAATCGTCAAAACTTAATAGTAAAAGTCTGATTTACAGTCTAAGTATGATAGTCATACAAAGGAGATATGGTACCAGAAATGACTAAATCTCATCATTGCTTTTACCAGGGTTGCATGTAAGGACAGCCAAAGGCCTTGTCGGCATTCAAATGGTTAAACAGAGCGCTAAGGAGTTCAACTAATTTAACTAAAGCCAGTATTTCACATAGATCTAATAAAGCCAACGTCACAACCTATTCCCACATGGTCAAGCTACCTCTGAAAAGAGAAAAACTTCACTCGGACATCGATTAGTACTGCCTTATTTGAAAAAAAAATAGACAAGAACACTTTTATACCCTATTCTGTAGCTTTTATAGACAGTTCGCAAAAAATATAGAGTGTATCCCATCCACTATTTTTTAAAGCTTTTTCTCTTATCTACTTAGTAATTAGATACAAGAAAGAAAACAAACAAACAGGATTCACACAAAGCAAGAACAGAACTCAGTTTAATGCTCTACCCAAACCTTATTATTGCCAGGTGTTAATACACGGGTGTAGCACCGGCAGATTTGAGTTCTACTTCTGCCCCTACTAACTCTCCCCCACCCCTGCATTCTCTACTGAAGTGTCCAGGAACAGCAAAGAAAAGAACTAGCTTGAAAGTGGGGAGAAGCCGGGGTGAGGGGAGAAGTTGCATAACCAGACCTTTAGGGAAAAAGAAAGAACTCTGGCTGAGCAGTAGCTGCTAGAAAGAAGTTATCAGAGAGGCCTGTAAAGTCTGGCACAGGATAAGAAGCCCAACAGGCTTTCCCTAACTCCAAATCAACGGCCTTTAAAACGAGAGGGCTGGGAACACGACGGCGGCCAGATTTCTAATTGTGGAAAGTTTAAACAAATCTGTTCCTCGGGGAATGGGGGAAGGGAGAGGAGGGCAAGTCTGGGCTCAGCCGAGGGAGCGCGCGGGGTCTGCCCGGCGCACGGCGGTCCGTCCAGCCCGGGGAGGCACCGGGATTTTCGGCAGCAGCAGCGACTGCATCAACCCCGGAGCCCCAGACGGAGGACGTGCCCGGACCCGGGGTCCGAGGAGGTGGACGGACAAGACGAGTGGGTCTGCGCGAAGGGGCAGCAGTCCGGGACTCCGGGTGGAAGTTGAGGGCAGGGAGGTACCAGGACGCTGGGGAGGGAGCGGCGAGAGGCAGCGGGCGGCTCTACTTACTCGGCTGTACCAGATGCTGAGGCGGGCCGCGGCCAGCACAGCGAAGAAAGTCCTCTGCGGGTCCGACTGAACGTGGAGAGGCGCCTCGGCCGGGCTCCCCAGAGGGCAAAGCAGCCTCTTGGGCCAGCCGCTCAGGAAATACATGGTCCGCGCGGAGCC